TAAATGACAAAACAAAAGGTATGGTTGATAAATGTTTGCACATTTTTAAATATAATTTGCAGCACGTAATTATTCATCAATTCAACGTCAGATTTCAGCTCTCACCACAGGTATAAGGAACGGTCCCAGTGTTCGGGCAATACTAATAGTTGATGTGGAAGTTGTATCCCCTATGACAGCATGCACACTGGAGAGTTTATCACAGAGTCCATTTGTGCTTTCATACCCGTTCATGAGATTTAACGATGCCCTGATAGACAGAGGGACACTAGGGCAAGAATCAAAGATCCTGTATCCAAGCGTCACATTAGGAAGCAGCGCTGAACTGTTGTTGATCTTCTCTATCACAAACATCATTGTGTATGCGTACTGAAGCTCACTTACTTCCAGTCTGTAAAAATGAAATGGCAAAACATCACATTTACAAATATTCTGAAATGCTGTATTTAAAAAGAAAATAAAAGGCCATCTTAAAGTAGGAAATGTGCAAATCCCATGCATTCCTTTTCATCCGTCTCTTACTCTTCACACTGGATTGATCCTGGGTCGACTCTGAAGGTTCGATCAAGCGTGACTGGATACTGGTGGAAGGGGAAGATGCCTCCGATGATGATATCCCCCTCCTTAGAAAACTGAGACAGTTCATCAGTTCTATATGTTTGACACAGACACTTTCCTTCTCTCACATTGAGAAGCAAAGCTGACAGCAGATGGTGTAAAAGCAGCATAGTTCCTCACCCCTGTCATGCACATACAACCAAAAAGATATCTCAAATGTTGTGTTTGCCTTTAACAAAACTCACATTCAGAAGAAAAAACAAGAGAACATCAATGTAATTCCTCACCTGAGTAGCCACCATGCAAATGCCATCTTCTTTAAACCCTCAACACTATTTAACTGATCCTATCCCACAGCTACGAGGGCTTGTCTTAAATTGAGTGACAGGTGAAAAGCCCTATGAGCACCACCGGAACTAATTCACCACTGCTTTACAGAGGAGATTGTGAAGGTCACGAACTTTGGGCAGTGACAGAAAAGATGAGGTCCTGGATACAAGCAGCCAAAATGTATCTTGTCCACAGGGTCTCTGGGTTCTCCCTAAGGGATAGGGTGAGAAGCTCGGTCATCCGGGAGGGGCTCAGAGTAGATCCGCTGCTCCTCCCCATCAAGAGAAGACAGTTGAGGTGGCTCAGGCATCTAGTCAGGAAGCCTCCTTGACACCTCCCTGGTGAGGTTTTTCGGGCACGTCCCACCAGGAGAAGACATACAGGAAAACTCAGGACGCTCTGGAGGGACTATGTCTCTCGGCTGGCCAGGGAACACCTTGGGATTCCCCCTGAGGAGCTGGCCCAAGAGGCTGGGGAGAGGAAAGTCTGGACCTCTCTGCTTAGACTGCTGCCCCCTTGACCCGACCCTGGATGAACGAAGGAAAATGGGTAAATGAGTGGATAATCTTTTGAATTAGAGTTAAGTGAATGTTCTTTTAATTGAAAACTAAGAATGTAAATCTTAGGATTCTCCCAGAAGAGAAAAAAGAAATAAGAGAAACCCAAACAGCTGTAAAAAAAATCTACTTTGTGAAATTTCTTTGTGTTTTTTTCATTTTGTATTTTTATTAGTTAATGGTAAAAATGCTTTAAATCGGCTAAAACTCTTCCCAAAGTCACATTTCGTCAATCATGTTTTGCTGAACGATATTTTTATTGGTTTTATTCATTTCAGAATGTCAAGTGTCTAGACCGGGCTTCACCTGAGATAGGCACCAGCCGCTCCACGACCCCGCGTGGATAAGCAGGCACAGAAAATAGATGGATGGAAATATCCAGTCCATCCGCTACACCTGAAGACACACTTCCAGGGATCTTCTCATTTAAATAAAGTCTGGCCTATGAAATTATAATTTTTCAACATGTAGTTTTACATATGGACTCAGGCGTAGCAGCCATATGTAAAATTAGGATCCTTTCATCTTAAAACTTCAGATTGCCTTGTCTAAACATTTATACTGCCCTCAAGTGGAGCATCAAAAGGTGGCAATGGCTATCATTAAAAGTCATTGCTGTGGAAATCATAAATAATAAAATAAAAACCATTGATATACATTCATTTTATTAACATTAGCCAATAAATGGTTCATGGTTGTTTTTGTTTCACATTTCAGGCTTTAATGCATAAATTAATGTGCAGAAGTATTTTTCATGAACACAAAAACTGAGTTATTGTATTTTATTGTTTTCATATTTACTCAGATGTTTTTCTGACTTAGATGTTAAATACAGATGAAGTAAAGATATTAAAATACTTTTAGAAGATAGAAGTTTAAATTTCACCTACAGTATGATGATTTATTCAAATCAATTGGATCATCATTAAATGTACACAGACCTATTTTTGATAATTAGATAATTAGAGGAGTCTGTTAAGGTGGCTTTTGTACATATCCATGTTTTGATTAATTAACTTATTCATTTATTTATTTGTCCAGCTAAAAAACATTAAGTCATTATTTGAAAAAAAATATGGAAATATTTTGAAAACAAATTGTTTATTAATTAGGGGACAGAAATACTTGCTGATAACCGAATACCATAAACAATTAATTATAAACAACATTTTTATATAAACATTATTTTGCTAAATATATTATATTCATGATTTGTTTACACAATATTTTAAAAATTATATAATAATGTGCAAAACTAACAAAAATACCTTACCAAGAATTATTCAAGCAGTGTTTGAATAAAAGAAAGAGTTTATAAACTGAAAGGAAAAGCTGTCCTTAGAAAATGTACATTTAGTAGCAAAGTTAAGAAATTCTGTATTGGTGTGAACAAAAATTTGAGAATAACATGAACAAGGAAACAAAAAAAAACTAAATTCAAGGCCACTCAGTAAATTTAAGTGTGTTAAACGAAGTGTATTGAGGAAAAGTGAAAATGTAACCTGAGGTAGTGCCTGTGGTTTAGTATGAAGATAAGATCAGGTGGGTGATTTTAAAAATGTGTAGCTCATGTGACAGGCCTTTTCACGTCTGTCACATGAGCTCAGTGTGAGCTTGCTCTTGTCTGTGAAATCACAGTGCACCAGTGTAAGTAAAGAATAAAGTCCCATAGCTGTCAGACACACTGGTGTCGTGAAAATTGTCCTCTGCGTTTGATCCATTCCAGTGGGGAACCTTGAGCTGCAGACACGGCCTCGCTCGGGAACTATTCGGTAGTTTAAACAAGTACCTGCAGTGTCGCACCTGTGGATTCTAGCGTTCTCAAGCTCGGTGGTGACGAGTGAGCACATAGCTCAGTAGATTAGTTATGTCGTCAGGCCACTCTCATAAAGTCTGTTTTTAATGATTTAGTCAGACAAACAAGAGTGGCCTACTGAAGGTCACTTTATGGAGCTCCAAGCATACCAAGCCGGGCCGAAAATGCAACGTCAGAGATCCTCGGCCATTGATTGGCTAAGGCAGAGGTTCTCAATCCTGTTCCTGGAGGGTCAATATCAGCATGTTTTAGTTGTTTCCCCACTTCAACACACTTGATTTTAATCAGCAGGTGTTATGTCCCCTCTGACCGTCCAGGAGGATGAGGGGACAAACGCAGTGAAACTTAAAGCGAGGTCCGTAATAAGGTTAAATGAAGGAGTGGAAAGGAGGTCAAATTAAAACGCTTTATTAAACAAAGGTGTCTCAGTCAAATATTTACTAATTAAACATGACGGCAGTAAGAAACTAACTGAAAGCGACTCCCTTAAACAGGGAGAATAAAACCAGAAGTTAAAAAAAATATTAACTTAAGCTAAGTTGCTTCAAAGGCCTACTGATCAGTCCACTTAAAGATTAGCACCATAAACAGGCACAAATCTCTAAATTCAAAGTCCTCAGGAGGAACACCTGACAAATCTAAACCGAAAGACTGGAGATTCGATACAATCAGAGTCTTTTCCAAAACCAGCAGCTTTAACATTAGCAAAACCACACACTGCCGAGGAGGATCGCAGACTAGGTCTGTGTCACCTCGAGCGAATGCTGGCGTCTGGTTTAAAAGTCTTTAGGAGAGGAAGATGGCGGATTGGAGTCAGCTACTGAAGCTGCTGCTGCGGCCGGCGTGCCTCTCTCCAAGGTCCTGGAGTGAGGGTGAAGGCCAATCTGGAGCTGTCCCCGGTCCTGAAGGCTGTATTGTGCGGACACAAGGCACCGGTAAATCAGGAGGCAGGGAGCCAGGATGCAGGAGTCGTAGCAGCAGGTGATTAACAAACTTCTGCAGAGTTTGATGAGATGCTGAACAATTGATTCGACCACTGAATCAAGTGTGTTGGAACAGAGAAACAACAAAAACATGCTGAAAATAGCGACCCTCCAGTACCAGGATTGAGACCCCCTGGGCTAGAGGATGGAGTAATTAACTGCTAAAAGAGTTTTCCATCTGATGCTTAGCTGCCCGCACCATTTTTACAGGAACAGTTTCACAAAATGTCAGTAACTAAGAAGAATGTTGTCAATGTTGGCATTTTGTGCGTTACCACCAAACTGCTGATTATCTGATCAGATCAAAATCCTGGAAGTCTAAAGCCTGGGGCACACCGGGAGCGGGCGCGCCAAGTCATGCCCGAGAAGTGGTCACACAGGACGCGCCTCACTGATGAGCGCTTCTTGGGAAGTCGTGTGATACTCACAACATCACGCGGGACTTCAGAACAGAAAGCAGGAAGCAACTTTATTGTTTATAGGTGATCAGACTTGCCATCAAGTATTGTGAGTCTCAAACTCATTAAAAATGGGTAAGTACGATATTTATTAGAATATTTTAAGAGCAATAGTACTTTAAAGTCATCAAAACCGCAGCTGGGTTTGTTCCGGGACTTGGGTTTGTGCCGTAAAGTTGTTCCGCATTGTGATGTTCTGTTGTAAAGTTCTCCACGATGTTGTAAGATGTATTCACACAAAAATACACACCAGATTTTTAACTCTATTTTATTTTACCAGAATATTTAAGAGGTAGCTCTAGCTCCCTTTATTCATCATGAATTTTTTTGTATTTTTCTCAGGTTTTACTAAGATGATGTAGCACTTGGGAAAAAATATGCAACACAGCAGTCCATAACTGGAAGCCAGAATAGCAAAAATCTCCACAGCCACACTGAATTTTCCAGGAGAGCTGACGTAAGCTGGGATGAAGGTGATCCACACGGCACAGAATATCAACATGCTGAAAGTGATAAACTTCGCCTCGTTAAAGTTGTCCGGGAGCTTTCGTGCTAAAAACGCAAGTCCAAAACACAACAGAGCTAAAACCCCGATGTATCCCAGCGCAGCCCAGAACCCTGCAGCTGATCCCAGAGCACATTCTAGAATAATCTTTTCTGTGTAATATTTAGAATTTTTGTATGGAAATGGAGGGCTGACTGTTAGCCAAAGTGTGCAAATTAAAAACTGCACAAGCGTGAAAGCTACAACACTGAGTCTCTGCTGTGTAGGTCCAAACCACTTCATCACATTACTGCCAGGTAATGTAGCCCTGAAGGCCATCAAAACCACTGTTGTCTTCCCCAGAACACAGGACATGCAGAGGACGAAGATGATGCCAAAAGCTGTGTGTCGCAGCTTGCAGGACCACTCAGAAGGTCGACCGATGAAGGTCAGGGAGCAGAGAAAACAGAGACTCAGGGAGAACAGCAGCAGGAAACTCAGTTCTGAGTTGTTTGCTCTGACTATCGGAGTTTGTCTGAAGAGGAAAAATATCAAGGCCACGGCCGCCGCCAAGCAAGCACCAAAGACAGAGAGGCTCACAAACAGCATTCCCATGAATTCTGTGAAGGTGAGGAACTCAATAGCTTTCATTTCACAATCAGTCCTCTCCAAATTGGATTTGAAATCAGGAGGACATGTGTCACATTTGACTGCATCTGAAAGCATAAATACATTTAAGCTGCACATGGTGGACATCTTCAGATAAACCAGTAAACTGCTGGCAGTGATTCTACCCAGCAGAAACACAATGAGCACAAGGCCAAAGACTAGGAATCCTGCTGTCTCACTTGTGCTGTTGCTGAACTCCCCATCAGCACAGGTAATGCAATCAAAGCAGCAGATAGGTTTTCCCTTAATGAAAGCCCGGCGAGTCCCTGGTAAACAGCTCTCACTGCAAACAGATCTTGGCACCTAAGTTACAGATGCAACAGTTATTGCACAATCATAAATACAAGACACTAATAAAAACTTTTGTTAAAGAAATATTAAAATAAACAAATATATGAATATTTTATTTGGATTGCCTCACCTGAAGATTCCCACCTGCCCAAATGGCTTGTAACTCTTCATTCATCCTAAACTGGTGACCTTCTGGTTGAGAAGCATCATAGTAACCGATTGTTTCGAACTGCACATGCCCTGATTGATCTTTCTGCCAGTTTTTAAGTGCATAATGTGCCACAGGGTCACCAGACTCATCGAAAAACACCCTTTCACCAGTCTTTGTGGTGAAATTTACTTGTGTTAGGTAATGGAGCACCTGCAGGAAAACAAATATGTTGTTACTGACAACAAACTCAGGATATTGTTGACCCAAACACTATTTTGTTTACTTTTACCTGCCATGGCTGTATATTCTCTTTATCAGCACATGTACTGTTCTCAAAAGGCCCCCGTCCATCTTCACAATTAAACAGCATCTCCAGAGCGTGAGCCACAGCATATGTGGCCTTGTAAACATTATTCATAAAGTCGGCATCTGACACATCGGTTAATGGTGTTTTTGCATCCCACAGGGTCTCTTTCCCACTGCAGGCTTCAACGGGATCTTGCACATTCGTGTTTGTTTGGGGAGTCAAAGTGCATTGAAATAGAGTCTCCCAAAACTTCACAAGTCCTGCATTACCTGGTGTGGTGGAGGGCTTACTATTAAACAGAAACTCCTGCAGGCCAGGGACATGGATGTTTGTTGCTGCAAAGCCCACAGCCCCCTGAACAACAGCATAGTTTATTTCAGAGGCAAAGTAACGATATGTTATCCACCCCTCACTTCCTACCCACTGCAGGCCCGTAACGTTCTGAGCATGAAGCTCTTTGACGAGTATGTCAAGGTCTGGGCCGTCAGCAAATGCAACTATTACCTTAGAAGTGGATTTTTTTATCATTTCAACCACTTCTAGATAGTACTTTCTGGAAAAGGTTCGGTCAACAGCCACTGAATATTCAACACACACACCCTCCTTATTTGCTGCTTCCAGGAAAGCAGCTATTCCATCATTTCCATATTTACTGTTAGACCTGACAGCTCCCACCCAGGTCCAGCCAAAATGTTTCGCAAGCTTTGCTAGTGCTGTGCTTTGATATACGTCACTAGTTATGGTTCTGAAGAAGGAAGGGTACTCTCGTCTGTTGCTGAGGCATGCACACGTGGCTGAATGACTGATCTTGAGGAAAAGAGAAATGCAATGAGAAAGAATGTTTGCAAATGTAAATGATCAAATTAACCCAATTATGTTTTTCTTTTGTTTTTGGACACACTCTGAGCATGGCTATAGCACTCACCACAGGGATATGGAAGCATCCCAGTGTTTGTGCAATGCCTATCGTTGAGGTGGAAGTTGTTTCCCCAATGACAGCATGAACACTGGAGAGTTTGTCACAAAACCCTTCTGTGCTCTCATACTTGTTCATCAAATTTAATGATGCTTTAATGGAAAGAGGGCTGTTGGGACAGGAATCAAAGATCCTGTAACCAAGTGTCACATTTGGAAGCAGCGTTGAACTGTTGTTGATTTCCTCTATCACAAACATCACTGTGTAGGCATACTGAAGCTCACATATTTCCAGTCTGTGAAATTAACGTAAAATTGTATACACCGTTTTAATAAAAACTGTTAAATACACAAATAAAGGGAAATACTACCAAGACATTTTAAAAACACAGAGCCCATCCATTTTTTTTTATTTTCTCTTACCCGTCACACTGGATTGCTCCCGGCTTGACTCTGAAGGTTTGATTAAGCATGACTGGATATTGGTGGAAAGGGAAAATTCCTCCGATGATGACATCTCCCTCCTTGGAAAACTGAGACAACTGTTCAGTTCCATACGTTCGACACACGGATTTCCCCCCTCTCACATTTAAAAGCATAAATAAAACCAGTTTGTGTGTAAGCAGCATAATTCCTCACAAGGTTAAACAACCTCAAATCTCTTCAACTCAAACCTTTATACCCTTTTCTGACACAAAGCTACAAGGGTGTTTCTGTAATGTCTTCCTTGTCCATGCCAATGATATTGCTTCTTGTGTGATTGACACATGCAAAGACCTGTAAGCTCCGCCACATTTGTTTCAGCTGTTCTTTTACCATACCCAGTGGTAGTCCTTACCATTGGGCCATATAGGTGGCTGCCTATGATACTTAGGGCCGTGATATACTTGCTGTTTGACCTTGCGATGTCGCAGACAGCAGGCTCCGTTTTTGTTCACAGACTTGCAGCTGCACAGCACTGCGCTGTACTCAGTACTGGAGTGTTCCACTAGGGGGTGCACTAGACTAGTCAGACCAGACAGAGAGCCGGGTTTTTGGGTACAACCACAACAAGCTGGTATGAAAGACCTCTAAACCAGAGACGGAGTCACCGTGGTGACTGTGTATTGCTCGTTTTGTCGAGTCCACTTACTGGTTACTTGTATATTGCAGCGTTCGGATGTGTTGCGTTCATTTCGGGGACGTGCACAAACAACGATTCAAGTCAACGCAAGTAAAAGAAAGAAAACCATCTGTTAAATTGCGCTTCTCAAGATAAAAATCACGAGGTGCTTCACAAATACGCAAAATTTAAATACAGAAAAAAATTCAAAAACTGATTATAATTACATTTTAAATGACAAAATAAATGTTTTTACAATGTAAGTAAAGGGAGAGAGAAAACTGATAGAGGGAAATCAGTGGATCCCGGGAAAGGCGGAATAAGAACAGAATAAGGAGTGGGTGGTGATGAAAGCCACACCAAAGACAGCTTGAACAGGTGAGTCTTCAGCTGCTTTTTAAAGGAGACCACTGAGTCCACTGATCTCAGGCTCAGGGGGAGAGAGGTCCAGAGTCTGGGGACTGCAGCAGCAAATGATCTGTCACCTCTGGTCTTTAGCCTGGTGCTGCATACCCAGTAGGCTTTGATCACTGGACCTCAGAGACCTGCTGGGGGTGTAGCAACTGAGAAGACCACCACTATATAATGGTGCTTGTCCATGTAAGGCCCTAAAGACCAGAACCAGGATTTTGAAATGAACTCTGGAGTTGACTGGCAGCCACTGAAGCTGGAGGAGAAGCGGGGTGATGTGGGTGTGTTTGAAGGACTTGGTCAGAAGTCGAGTACAGGCATTCTGAACCGCCTGTAGACGGTTCAGGGAGGTTCTGCTCAGACACATGAAAAGAGAGTTACAGTAGTCTAAGCGTGAGGAGATGAAGGTGTGGAGAACTGTTTCAAGTTCATAGCGGGACAGATTGGGACTCAGATTAGCAATGTTCCTGAGATGGAAGAAGGAAGAGGGAACAAGAGAACTGACACGAGAATCCAGGGTGAGATCTGGGTCAAAGGTCACACCTAGATTCTCACTGGCAACATGTCCGACTTACTGTCGGCATCATTTACCAAGCTCTGGCCTCGATCAACATAACAGCTTGTATCAAGAGACCTGGTACCCCATACTCCCAGAGTATCCCCTACAGGCCTCCCCGAGGGACACAGAGGAAAGCCTTAGCCAAGTCTCTTAAACACATATGAATTTGTTGGGCTAATTCCCACACAGCCTCGAAGACCTAATAGTGGTCCAGTCTTCCTCCTGGATCCTGCGCACCCTCCTCTCCAGAACCCCTGAATAGACCTTGCCAGGGAAGCTCAGGAGTGTGATTCCCCTGTAGTTTGAACACACCCTGCGGTCCCCCCTTTTTAAATAGGGGAACCGCCACCCCAGTCTTCCAATCAACCAGAACTTCAAACAATATTGCAGAGCTGCGTCACCCAATACAGCCCCACAACATCCAGAGCCCTAAGGAACTCTGGACATTCAATTCAATTCAAGTTTATTTATATAGCACCAAATCACGACAAGAGTCATCTTAAGGCACTTCACACAGTAAACAATCCACTACAGGTCAGTTCACTAAGCCAATCAGAAATAATGTTTCCTATATAAGGAACCCAGCAAATTGCATCAAGTCACTGACTAGTGTCAGTGACTTTACAGCAATCCTCATACTAAGCAAGCATATAGCGACAGTGGAGAGGAAAACTCCCTTTTAACAGGAAGAAACCTCCGAAGAATCCTGGCTCAGTATAAGCAGCCATCCTCCACGACTCACTGGGGATCGAGAAGACAGAGCAGACACACGCACACACACTTACACACAAACACCCACACCATATATACAGAGTAGTGTTTCTATGGCTACATTGTGATTTCTTAGTAAATATTCTATTTAGTAAGAGATAAACTTGATTGTCTTTATCTTAGTGAATCAATATTTAGCGTTGTTAATCTACATAACTAGAATTTGAGCTGCTGCTATTCAGCTTTGTTAAATTCTGAGAAAGATCAAACGGATTGGTAATGAAACTTATATCATATATAATCGATAGAAGTTCATACACCAACTGGCTTGGTCTATATTTAATCAAAAGATTAATATTTAATTTAAGAGATTTAAATTAATAGCAAAAGTTTATTAATTCAGAAGATCTAAAGGGATCTTTGCTCATTCAGTGACCAAATATACACCACCCTGTGTTTTATTCAAAGAAGAGTCAGATTAAAAAAAAAGTTAAGAATTTATTACTAACAATTTTAAAATGACAATTTAAAAGACATTTCATAAATGACAATTTATAAAAGCTTTGGTATTAAAACTTGGTATTAAAGCAACCTGTGTCTGGATGAAACTAAAAATGAAGTGTGTGTGTTTGGATGTGTGAATGTAGGTCTCAGAAGGTTTCTTATCTTAGAGAGAGAAAAAATGCGTTCCGGGTGGTAGAATTTGGTTTGCAGCGAAGCTAAATCATTTCTTAAAAGAACAGGTATTCAGACGCAATCTGTGTGCTACCTCACCAATCAGACGACCCTCTATTTGGATCCGGAGGTCAAGGGAGGACGTTGATCAGCCTCTGGGTACTCGGTCCGGTAGGGTAGACCAGTGGTACCGACTCTCTAGTCCTAGAGTTGCCGCAGGTACACAGGATGATGGTTTGCGTTATAAAATTAACTCTGAAGGAGTTTTGCGTCAGCTTGTTGCAGATGGCGTTTCTGTTGAAGCAATTCTATCGGCGTGACAGAAAAGCTTTAGTCGAGATTTCGAGCGGCCGCCCCGATCCTCTGGACTCTCGTTGCCATGGAGAGAATTTTGGTGAGCTCAAGAACTGAACTTAAACTGAGGAGTTAGGTTTTAAGAGACGGCCGGTAACCTTATTCTATCGAATTAGATTTTGACATGTTAGAGGGTGGGACTTAACATACCTCAGAACACGCCCTCCCAAGATAGAAAGCTCTGGTGTTACAGGACAAAGACATGTGAGTGCAGTTACCTTTAACCTGATTACTGTGTCCTGCATGGTGTGTATAAGTGCACATGATCTTCTTGTCACTGTTAAACATTACTGATTATCATAAATAAAAATTATTATTAACCAAAGAATAATAATTCATTTCAGTAATTAAATACATTTATAATGGACCTTTGATGATTATTTATGAACACTGAAATTGGACAGTGAAAAGAGTTTATTAAAAATGATTCTTTTAAATCTTGAAGTGTCCTTCGTCTTGGGGATGGAACAGCAGTCAGATAAAGGCAGTCAGATTAAAGATGGTTTACAGCAGACTTCGCGTCTCCTGTGATGGATAATCTGTAGATAGAAGTACAGCCAGGACAGCTTGACCCAGCTGAGGAAGTGTGACCTTTGGGTCACAAATGAGGCCATTCATGTTGCTACATATAATTAATTCAACAGGTGATCTAGTAGTAGACATTCATCCCTGGGTCCCTGCCACCTAGGAGCCTTTTGACCATCTTTGTGACCTCAGCATCAAAGATTGGAGGGCCTGTTCCAAAGTCCCCAGACCCCGCTTCCTTGCTGGAAGATGTAGTTGTTGGATTAAGGAGGTCATCGAAGTACTCCACCAACCGATCCACAACAGCCCTAGTGGAGGTCAGCAGCACGCCGTTCCCACTATAACGTGTTGGCAGTGCACTGCTTTCCCCTCCTGAGTTGCCAGATGGTAGACCAGAATCTCCAAATCATATGAAAGTCTTTGTTTATTGCCTCACTAAACTTCTTCCACACCCTCATTTTTTCTTTAGCGACCACCCAAGCTGTATTTTGCTTTGACTACTGGTATCCATCAGCTGCCTCTGGAGACCCACAGGCCAAATAGAACCTGATAAGACTCCTTCCATCTTACTTTAAAAATGCAGTAGTGACTCCTCTCTTAAAGAAACCCAACCTTGACGCCAGCTCCACCAGTAACTTTAGGCCCATTTCTAAGCTACCTTTCATCAGCAAAGTACTTGAGAAGGTTGTTGAAACCCAACTCAGATCCTGGTTTTCTAAGTCAAGGATCTCTGACCCCTTCCAGTCTGGCTTTCTGAAGCAGCACTCAACTGAGACTGCTCTAGTAAGGGGGCATAATGACCTCCTGATGGCTGCTGATGCAGGGAAATGCTCTGTCATGGTCCTGCTAGACCTCAGTGCAGCTTTTGACACTGTAGACCACAACGTTCTACTAAACAGGTTAAAGGCCCTGGCTGGGATTTCAGGTTCTGCTCTAGACTGGCTCTCTTCTTATCTCACAAACAGAACATTCACAGTGAAGTCCGAAACCTTCTCTTCAGATACTGCCTCTCTAACATGCGGGGTCCCACAAGGTTCAGTTCTAGGGCCTCATTCACATTCTATATTCTTCCCCTAGCTGGCATCATTCAGTCTTTCCCAGACATCTCCTACCACATCTACGCTGATGATATTCAGCTCTATATGTCCTTTATGCCACACCAGTTGGACAGGCTGGCCACACTTGTACTCTGCCTGACCCAGATCAGTAACTGGCTGTCCAGCAACTTTCTTGTCCTAAATGCTAACAAGACAGAGACCCTGATTGCTGCACCCCCGGAACTTCAAACAAAAATCGAGCAAGAAATTGCATCTTTTTGCCCATCAGCCAAGGCCAACATTAGAAACCTAGGAGTTATTTTTGATCCAGCTTTAAGTTTAGACTCACATGTCAAAACCATCTCCCGCTCTTGTTTCTTTCAACTGAGAAACATTTCAAAAGTCCGTAAACTGGTCTCTACTGCAGTTCTGGAAAAAATTATCCATGCCTTTGTGTCATCACGCTTAGACTACTGTAACGCTCTTTTTACTGGTCTCAGCAAAACCTCCCTCTCACGCCTTCAAGCCATCCAAAATGCAGCAGCCAGACTCCTAACCAAATCCAGCAGACGCACTCACATCACTCCAGTTTTACAGTCCCTCCACTGGCTCCCGGTAGAATATAGAATTCAGTTTAAAGTTTTAGTCCTGACCTATAGAGCTCTTAACAACTAGGCTCCAAGCTACCTATCTGAGCTTTTATCCCCACACACCACCTCTCGGAACCTTAGATCCACATCTGAAAACCTCCTGGCTGTTCCTCGAACCAGACTGAAAACCAAAGGGGACAGGGCCTTTCAGACTATTGCATCCAGACTTTGGAACAGTCTACCTTCAAATCTCTGTCACTCTAACACTGTAGAGGTCTTTAAAAATCATCTAAAAACTCACCTTTTCATCCAGGCATTCCCTCCCTAAATGTTTCAGAATGATGGCTTTGTTTGGGTTCACACCTTCACTTTGTTTATACTCATGATTTTATTTTCTACGTTTATCACTGCTATTGTTTTTCTGATGTTTTTATTCGTTAGAGGTATTTGCCCTGATCTTTATCATGTTGTACAGCGCTTTGTGATTTATGTCTGTGAAAGGCGCTATATAAATAAACTTTTACTTACTTACTTACTTCAGCTTGACAACATCCCCAACTGCAAATGTCCCCCAGCAGATTTTTTTTGGGGGGGGGGGGGGGGGGGGGGGGGGTGTCGCTGCTTAGACAGGCACTGACCACTAGGAATGAGCCGGAAACTCGTTTCAGATGAGTATCTGGTACAGATAAAGCATTTTTGATGAGTACGAGCATGAAACGAGTAAAACTCGTAAATATCTGTAATCGTGCTGAAGGAAAATCCTCATTGGGTAACTGACTCAGTCAAATAGAGCGCCCGCCCCTCCCTACACACAAAACTCTGCACCGGGAGCTCTGTCCGTGTCCTTTCCATCCACACACACACACACACACACACACACACACACACACACACACACACGCACACACACACACACAGTAATGGATCTCTCTGTGCTTGCTTCACTGTTGCTCACGTTTCTTCAGTACTCCCTAGGTTTTCTTCAGTTCGCCTCTTTTTAAAGTAACTTTTTCGTAACGTACGTGGTGCATTTGACAAGACAGAGCTGAAAATGGCTCGTGCATGCGTCAGTCACTGCCTCCGCTCCGGTCGGGTTATTTTTTTCCCTCTCCCTCTTTCCTATTCACTCTCTTTCTTTCTTTACATTTTTAATCACAATTATCCATTTTTTGCTCATTTTAAATATATTCTAATCGCTTTCTAAATTCTTTTTTATATTTTACATTTGGTTTATTTCTATAAAGTGCAAACTAGATCTCTCTCTCTCTCTCGCTCTCTCGCTCTCTCGCTCTCTCTCTCTCTCTCGCTCTCTCGCTCTCGCTCTCTCGCTCTCTCGCTCTCTCTCTCGCTCTTGCTCTCTCGCTCTCTCTCTCGCTCTTGCTCTCTCTCGCTCTTGCTCTCTCTCTCTCTCTCTCTCTATTAATTCATGCACTTAAATATTAATGTTCTGATTTTATTGAAAAACTTGTTCTGTAATAGTTCCTTTACTATTCTGATCAAAAACATTTAATCTCAACTCTGAGGCTGCTCTGTAAATAGTTTTAAAATAAACAATACACATAGCAACTTCTGATCAGACTTAAAATAATGTTTTATTGTAAACCACACCCACTTCCGGTTAAACTACACCCACTTCCGGGTTAGGCCACGCCCACTCCGAGTACAGATACAGGTAATTTAGATGGTTAAACAGATAGAGATACAGATAGTGGTGTACTCGCTCATCCCTACTGACCACAGCTCTGGTCATTTGCCTCGACAAAGGAGGCATGGAACATGGCCCACTTGAGCTCAATGTGTCCCGCCTCCCCCAGAATGTATTCAAAGTTCTGTTGGAGGTGGGAATGAGCTATATGCCACGAACACCTGTTTGACACTTCCTTTTAGTAGTTTCTGGGTCACATAACATTAGTGCTCTCCATGGCATTTGTTGCTGCAGGACCTGCCAAGGATAACGATCAACAACAAACACCAGATAATATAGGTCATATCTAAGCTGCCACAATCAAATAAAGACAAAGGTTTTAAATTTCATATGTCTGCCTACATTCATAACTTTTAAGGTAAGTAAACAAGCTTCTGCCTTGGGTTGTTAAATGATACATACAAGCTCTTTACTAGCACAGTGGGGAAGCAACGCTAACAACGTTAATAGAGAGTTAGTATTTAAGAAACAAAAAGACTTTTGATACTCTCTGATAAAGTTGTTAGAGTTGCCTCAACACAACTGGCTAGCAAAGAGCTAGCATGTATTCTCATTTAGCAAAGGAAAATCTAAAGTTTCTTAACTTACTATTATAACGAATGTTGGTGGACACAACCTATTTAAAACCTTTGTATTTATTTGAATGTGGCATCTTAAATAAAGCCTGGATTATGCTGTTGACTATTATCCGTGGCAGGTTCTGCAACAATCGCTTAAAAAAACATTAAAGAATACAAGCAGTACACATTAACCTGGAAGTGAATGAGCTGGCTAAAAAGTCAGGAAGCGTCAAACCAGGGATATGTAGCATAACCGTCAGAAGGACGGGAGACTCCGCCAGACATTCCCAGCAGACCTTTACAATACATTTGGGATTGGCATGCTCCCCCACCATTGGACACCAACTACCCCAAATCCTAACCCTGATCCCAAAAGCACATATGAACACCCTTATGCTTAAAATGGTGTTCAATATGGACAATCCATGATGAGCACAGAAGTCCAAAAACAAATCACCACTCTGATTCAGGCCCTGTCCACACGTAGCCGGGGATCTGCCAAGACGTAGATATTTTTCTACGTTTTGGCCTGTCATCCACACAAAAACTGTTTTTTCACATGAAAACGGATCTTTTGAAAAACTCCGGCCAAAGTGAAGATCTGCGTTTTCTCCGTTTTGGGTGTCTGCGTGTGGACAGACAAATCCAGAGTTTTGAGGTCCGCAACGTCACTTTCCGCGACAAAAAATGGTGACATCACATGTGCGACATGTGTTTACACTAGCCGACAGCATGGATACCCTCAGAGCTGCGCTCGCTTTATCAGTTGTCCAAGCGCTTTTTGCTTGTTTGTTTTTGCAAGCGGAATTACTGCTCCTTGCGGAAGACCACAGACGAAGGACGAGGTTAAGAACGGGGGAAGTACTGCCACCTACAGGTCTGGCATGTCCTTAACAACGTATTTATCCGGGTACGTGTGGACAGTTTTTTTTTTAAACGAGGTGGTGTGGATGCAAGTTTTTGAGGGGCGGATATTCATTTAAAAAAAAAACGGCTACGTGTGGACTAGGCCTCAGACTGGGGGAGCCACTCAACCACACCTCCACAGGTCTCACTGTCACTGCCCACAGATGTTGCATGCTTTTCACATTTATTCTATTACAGGTGGAAATGCATACCTCATGTTGTATGTGTGATTCATTAAGAAATCACAAAAAATGGCTATGTATGTCAGGGTTGGTTGGATTAAATTATTTATTAAAATAAAATAAAAAATAAAAACATGACAATGTGATGTAAAAACATCTTGCTGTTTCACATATTTATTATACATATTTAGGTATAACATTTGAAGTTACCCAAGTACTTGATGAACTAACAACTGTAAATTTTCTAAATAGAACTTTAAATTGCTTTTTAATGCCTGAATTTAAACAAATAACCTATTAATAAAAAGTTAGGAGCAATTGCCAAATATTTCAGATAGCTCTCATGGTCCCTCTGCTCATCATATATTTTTTTGTATTTTTCTCAGGTTTTACTAAGATGATGTAGCACTTGGGAAAAAATATGCAACACAGCAGTCCATAACTGGAAGCCAGAATAGCAAAAATCTCCACAGCCACACTGAATTTTCCAGGAGAGCTGACATAAGCTGGGATGAAGGAGATCCACACGGCACAGAATATCAACATGCTGAAAGTGATAAACTTTGCCTCGTTAAAGTTGTCCGGGAGCTTTCGTGCCAAAAACGCAAGTCCAAAACACAACAGAGCTAAAACCCCGATGTATCCCAGCACAGCCCAGAACCCTGTAGCTGATCCCAGAGCACATTCTAGAATTATCTTTTCTGTGTAATATTTAGAATTTTTGTATGGAAACGGAGGGCTGACTGTTAGCCAAAGTGTGCAAATTAAAAGCTGCACAAGAGTGAAAGCTACAACACTGAGTCTCTGCTGTGTAGGTCCAAACCACTTCATCACATTACTGCCAGGTAATGTAGCCCTGAAGGCCATCAAAACCACTGTTGTCTTCCCCAGAACACAGGACATGCAGAGGACGAAGATGATGCCAAAAGCTGTGTGTCGCAGCTTGCAGGACCACTCAGAAGGTCGACCGATGAAGGTCAGGGAGCAGAGAAAACAGAGACTCAGGGAGAACAGCAGCAGGAAACTCAGTTCTGAGTTGTTTGCTCTGACTATCGGAGTTTGTCTGAAGAGGAAAAATATCAAGGCCACGGCCGCCGCCAAGCAAGCACCAAAGACAGAGAGGCTCACAAACAGCATTCCCATGAATTCTGTGAAGGTGAGGAACTCAATAGCTTTCATTTCACAATCAGTCCTCTCCAAATTGGATTTGAAATCAGGAGGACATGTGTCACATTTCACTGCATCTGAAAGCATAAATACATTTAAGCTGCACATGGTGGACATCTTCAGATAAACCAGTAAACTGCTGGCAGTGATTCTACCCAGCAGAAACACAATGAGCACAAGGCCAAAGACTAGGAATCCTGCTGTCTCACTTGTGCTGTTGCTGAACTCCCCATCAGCACAGGTAATGCAATCAAAGCAGCAGATAGGTTTTCCCTTAATGAAAGCCCGGCGAGTCCCTGGTAAACAGCTCTCACTGCAAACAGATCTTGGCACCTAAGTTACAGGTGGAAATGCGCAATGCACAATCATAAATACAAGACACTAATCAAAACTTTTGTTAAATAAATATTAAAATAAACACATATTTAAATATTTTACTTGGATTACCTCACCTGAAGATTCCCACCTGCCCAAATAACTTGTAACTCTTGATTCTTCCTAAACTGGTGACCTTCTGGTTGAGAAGCATCATAGTGACCAATTGTTTCGAACTGCACATGCCCTGATTGATCTTTCTGCCAGTTTATGAGTGAATAATGTGCCACAGGGTCACCAGACTCATCAAAGAACACTTTGTCACCAACTTTAGTGGTAAAATTTACTTGTGTCAAGTAATGGAGCACCTGCAGGAAAACAACCATGCCATCATTTGAATAAAGATTCAGTTTTGTGTTCATCCCAACACTATGGTGTTGTCTACTTTTACCTGCCATGGCTGTACTTTTTCCTTATCAGCACATGTACTGTTCTCAAAAGGCCCCTGTCCATCTTCACAGCTAAACAGCATCTCCAGAGCATGGGCGACAGCATATGTGGCCTTGTAAACATTATTCATCAAGCTGGCATCTGATACATCAGTAAATTGTGTGTTTACATCCCACAGAGTCTCTTTCCCACTGCAGGCTGCAACATGATCCTTCACATTCATGTTTGTTTGGGGAGGGAACGTGCATCGAAATAGAGTCTCCCATAGCTTGACAAGTCCCTGATTACCCGGTGTGGTGGAAGGCCTGCTGTTAGCTAGAAACTCCTTCAGCCCAGGGATGTGGGCATTCGTTGCTGCAAAGCCCACAGCCCCCTGAACAACAGCATAGTTTATTTCAGAGGCAAAGTAACGATATGTTATCCACCCCTCACTTCCTACCCACTGCAGGCCCGTAACGTTCTGAGCATGAAGCTCTTTGACGAGTATGTCCAGGTCTGGGCCGTCAGCAAATGCAACTATTACCTTGGAAGTGGACCGTTTTATTACATCCACCACTTCTAGATAGTCCATTTTCAAATTGGTTCGGTCAACAGCCACTGAATATTCGACACACACACCTTCCTTTGTTGCTGCTTCCAAGAAAACAGCCATGCCATCATTTCCGTAATCACTGTTAGACCTGACAGCTCCCACCCAGGTCCAGCCAAAATGTTTCACAAGCTTTGCTAGTGCTGTGCTTTGATATACGTCACTAGGTATGGTTCTGAAGAAGGAAGGGTACTCTTGTCTGTTGCTGAGGCATGCACACGTGGCTGAGTGACTGATCTTAAGGAAAAGAAGAAATGCCATGACAAAGAATGTTAACAAATCTAATCTATCAAATTAACCCAATTTTAGTTTTCTTTAGTTTTTAGACACATTCTGAGCATGCCTATAGCACTCACCACAGGGATATGAAAGGGCCCCATTGTTCGTGCAATACCTATCGTTGAGGTGGAAGTTGTTTCCCCAATGACAACATGAACACTGGAGAGTTTGTCACAAAACCCATCTGTGCTTCGAAATGCATTTATGAGATTTAACGACGCTTTGATGGAAAGAGGGGTGTTGGGACATGAATCAAAGATCCTGTATCCGAGCGTCACGTTGGGAAGCAGCTCAGAGCTGTTGTTAATTTCCTCTATCACAAACATCATCGTGTGGGCATACTGAAGCTCACCAATTTCCAGTCTGGAGGAAAAACAAGTAAAATTGTACATATTGTCAAAATTAGATATATATACAGTTAACACAGAAAGAGTAAAACACAAAGATCATGCATGTTTTCCAAATGTCTCTTACTCTTCACACTGGATTGCTCCTGGGTTGACTCTGAAGGTTTGATTAAGCGTGACTGGATATTGGTGGAAGGGGAAAATTCCCCCGATGATGACATCTCCCTCTTTCGAAAACTGAGCCAGTTCTTCAGTTCCATATGTCTGACACAGGGACTTTCCTTCTCTTGCCTTTAAAAGCAAAATTAACACCAGATGGTGTAAAAGCAGCATAGTTACTCACACAAGCATCTAGCATGCATAAACAACATTAAGCACCCTGGACTCTAACTCTTATACCTGCCCCTGTCACAATGCTACAAGGGTTTTTCTACAGTCTTTTAACATGGCCATGCCAATGATATTGCTTCTTGTGTGACTGACAAGTACAAAGACCTGTAGGCGTTACCACCTTTGCTTTGGCCCATAACCCCATGTTTTTTTTTTTTTTTTTTTTTTACCGTGTCCTGTCTGGCTGTGAAGCAAGCAGAATTGATGTCTGAATGCTGGTGACAAGCCTTACAGATTTACTCTCAGGTGGAGCCTCAAAGCGTTTGCTTTTAATGTCACGCCTGATACTTAAAACTTTATTGTTATTGTTGTTGAATGCTTTGTAATTCCGACCAGACACGGAGACAGAGGTGAAAGAGAAAGGAAGAGAAGGTGGAGAGAGAGAAGGGGGGGCGGGTTCCACAAAAATAAACAATGAACAAGAGTCTGCTTCTAGACCTGCAGAAAAAGACAAAAAAAACAAAACAAAAGGACACAAAAAAGGGACACAACAACAATACAACAAGATCTACCTATCACTGCGTCAACTTGATGAAAAAAAAAACAAAAAAAAAACAATATATATATATATATATATAAAATCAACATTGCTTAACTGAAGAATCACGATAATAAATCACAATGCATTAAGTGCCCCCATAGTCTTAAGACATGTGTTGAACGTGCCCAAGCCCATACTTTTGAGAGCACCATGTGAGCACCTGTGTGTGTACACGAGCTTGTTTATTTAAGGTTTCTCTATAGGAGAGTCCAACAGAGAGTGTGAGGGACCACAGATCCGCCCCCCAAAGATGCGTAGGAGACGGGGGGAGCTCCAAGTCCCAGAGATCCAGGCGTTGCCCCAGAATGCAGGAACCCCAAGGAGACTGACACCAGAAAGGCCCCCGCCCCCCTCGAGAGGCACAGAGGATCGCCCCGGGGGGCCACAACCAGCAGCCGGCAGAGTCCCTGGAGATATCAGCGGCAAGCCCACAGGCCCGCCCGCAGCCTCCCACCCCCTAGCCGGCCGAGCCCGGGACCCAGCGACCCGGGACCCAGGGGTGACCACCCCCGCCGGGGACCCAGCAGAGCCCAGGGACGCAGACCCCAACAGGCAGCCACCGGGATCTATCAGGCAGATGCCAAAATCTTAAACCCCCAGACCCGGTTGCCACGAACACTCAGGCAGACCATGGCACAAGCCCCCACACCAGGTGTGGCAGGGGGAGGGGGGACAAAGATCTATATCATCAAGAGAAGTTCCAGGAGAGGGGAGGACCCAAAGGCCCCACCTGACATATACAGTCATACACAAACACAGTCATACACTCCCTCCCTCATGCTCACACATGCACATACAACCCAAGACTTACAAAAATGCACGCCGGACACTCACTCATGTTCCCCATACACACCCTATTAACTCTGGTCCCGGTACTGCTGCACATGGGGTACAACCATCACCGGTAACCAGAGTTTGACCCTTTCTGCTGGGGTGCTGATGAGCAGGCTTCCCCGCCCAACGCTGAGCACAGCAACCCACCACCCCAGACCCCAACCAGACGGCCAGATCTCCCTCCTAGCCTCCAGCCCCAGGAAGCCTAGCAACAACAGAGGTGGCTAAGACCCCTAGTCTCCCTCCACCTGCTCCAATATAGTGTTGTGTGATCATGAGGTGTATTCCATGGCTGTGGTGAGTGGGCAGTGCGGGCATCATCCGGCATATGCCAGCTGATGCCACCGCACCACCCCACTTACACCCTCAGCCATCAGTGTCTAAGTGCGGTTTAAAAATGGAAGTGGGCACCGGCACTCGGGAGGAGGCTGAAATATCCCCCTGCCAAATGCCATTGAATGTGCTCACTTCCAAGGCCCTAAGTGTGTGTTTGTGTGGAATGTTGTCAGTGGAAGTGTATAAGGTGCAAATAAAATTGGGGGGCAGGTTGTCACAGGAATGCGGAAATGGGGTCCATACCCACACTCCCTGACTTGCCCACCCCCCAAGGTCCTATGTCTATGTTTGTGTGATGATGTGAGGGAGCAGGAGGAGAGAAATATGCGGGGATGGGGAGGAATGGCTGGTTGGGCTTAGCCCTCCAGGGAGCCAGCTCCCCTACTGGCCCCAATAGGCACCTCTGTTGTCAAACTGCCACCCAGGGCATGAGACCCCAGCCCATCCTGCCAGGGCCCAAAGCAGCAGCATTACAGAGCCTCACGGAGTCCGAGGGCACCAACCCAGCCCCATCCCAGCAGAATATCTATGCCCACCCCTGCATTTGCACAACTTCCAGAATATATAAGACATGGGACATCCAGGTAAGGTTTGGTCCTCCCCGTCCTGGACCTCCCCCTCCCCTGTGATGGAACGGCAGAGGAGCCAAGGTCTTCCTGATGCCCCCGAACCCGGGCCAAGCACTGCTGTGTGTTCCTGCCTTCTTCCCGGCAGCATACATGTCAGGACCTGACCCCCAAGGCCCCGCCCAGATCCCCACACGGGGCCGGCCACCCCCAAACCCCGAGCCCCCAGGCCCCCACCCAGACCCGCCCCGGGGTATTGCAGCCGCCAGCCAGTGACCCATGGCCGCCGCCCAAGATCCCCAAGGGGCCCCACTCACAACCGCCAGTAGTCCACCCCCCCGAGGCAACCCAAGCACCTCCAGAGGGGGGGCAACAGCCCCCCAGTCCCAGACACCCCCAGTGAACCCACCTCCAGGGAACATCCGGATACTCCAAACTCAGACTCCACACCCCCCCACCCACACCATCCCGCAGGACAACATCAATGGCCCCTCACCCTCGCTATGTGATGGAACCGATCAAAGGAGCCCAGAGAGATTCATCTGAAGTGGAAGCAGAGGCTATATCAAGTGCAATATGATCTAACAAAAGATTTCTATACTGGTTAATGCAGAGAGTTTCTCTATTTTTCCAATTCAAGAGGATAGTTTTCTTAGCGATGCACATGGCAGTCAGAACCACGTGAACCAAAGATGTTGCAATCGGGACATTGTGCAGCTGTCCCAGTAAACAAAGAGAGGGGGAAGTTGGGATATGACATTTCAGACATTTTGACAGATCCTCACATACTCTACCCCAAAATTCCTGGACAGGTGGGCAGGACCACAGTGCATGAATGTAATTGTCAGGAATGTTGTTTGTGCAGTGTGTACAGGTGTCAGACGACACAAACCCCATCTTGAACATCCAATGACCTGTATAGTGTACTCTGTGTAGAATTTTGTACTGAATTAATTGTAAATTGGGGTGTCTGATCATTTTAAAAGTTTTTAAACAAGTTTGGGACCAGAAGCCCTGGTCAAAGCTAACTGATAGATCCACCTCCCATTTTTCAATGGGGATTGCAATTTTATCGTCTATTTTGGACAGTGTCTTATATGCTTTAGACAGTAGTTTGGGGGGTTTGAGATTATAAAAGTCAAATACCCTTGGTGGTGTTTGTAATTCTATTTTATTGAGCTTAAATTTTTGTTTGACTACAGATTTAATTTGGTGATATTCTAAAAAGCTATTCTTATCCATTCCAAATTGGAAGACTATTTGATTAAATGGGATGAAGTCCAATCCTTCATATATGTGTTCCAGGTATAGGATTCCTTTATTTTTCCAGTCCGGAAGGTTCATCATTTTGTTGTTTTGCAAAATGTCAGGATTGTTCCAGATAGGTGTGCGTCTGCATGGTACTAGTGAAGACTCGGTCATTTTAAGATACTCCCACCATGCTGTCAGAGAAGTGCTGATACTAATACTTTTAAAGCTTTCATGTTTTCTTATGCTTGAGCTAATAAATGGTAAGTCTGAAAGCTCTATCGTATTGCAAAGTGTCTGTTCTATATCTAACCAGGACTCACCTAGTGGGTTATCTTGCAACCATTTTGGTATATATTGCAGCCTGTTGGCTAAGAAATAATAATAAAATTGGGTAAATCCAGTCCTCCTCTGTCTTTAGTCTTCTGAAGCGTTTTTAAGCTAATTCGTGGAGGTTTATCCTGCCAAAGGAATTTAGTAATTGAGGAGTCCAGAGATCTAAACCAGTCAGCTACAGTCTTTTAACATGGCCATGCCAATGATATTGCTTCTTGTGTGACTGACAAGTACAAAGACCTGTAGGCGTTACCACCTTTGCTTTGGCCCATGACCCCATGGTTACAGGAATAAATGCAGAAAGGAATCTGCAGGATGTTTCTTTTTGCTTATGAAGTGTAATAAAGTTTTGACTTGTGTGAGGTTAAAATAATCATGATTTATATCAAATGTTTTTTTCCTCCAGCGGGGATGGAAGTGTTACCATAAAAAAAAGACAATAAATGATTAAAAAGATCACTCTTTTATTTATAGAATGTGTGGGGCGACGGTGGCACAGGAGTTAAGAGCTTGCCCTGTAATCGGAAGGTTGCAGGTTCGAGCCCCGCTCAGTCTGTCATTTTCATTGTGTCCTTGGGCAAGACACTTAGCTCACGTTCCCTGCTGGTGGTGGTCGGAGGGACCGGTGGCGCCAGTGCTCTGCAGTCTCGCCTCTGTCAGTGCGCCCCAGGGCAGCGCCCCAGGGCAGCACCCCAGGGCAGCACCCCAGGGCAGCTGTGGCTACATCGTAGCTCATCCCCACCAGTGTGTGAATGTGTGTGTGAATGGGTGAATGACTGATTATGTTGCAAAGCACCTTGGGGGGTTCCAGGACTCTAGAAGGCGCTATATCAAATACAGGCCATTTACCATTTACCAATGTTTCTTTTGGATGGCTCACTTTTGAATTGATTGGACAAATTTTGTCATCAGTCCCCACTGTACATGGAAAGCTGGGTTAAAAAAGACAAGGGCAAGCCTGTTAATGGTGACACACACGAAGAAATTTCAGCGTAAAATAAAAACACCTCTGCTGCAGCCCTCCAGCAGTGTCAAAATCATTGACAAAATATTTAGGGTTTTTTGTGATGAATATAATTTTTGCAAATGTAAACAAAACTAAAACTTCTATTTATACTTCTATAAAGACTGAATTATAACGAGTATTGATTAACAATTAAAACGACAACGATAATTGACAGTAATAAAAATCCAATCAAACATGGAAAAGATGGGAGAACAGAAATAAAAACCAATCAGCAAATAGAACAGGCGGGATTAGAT